TGAACACAGCGCCCAAAAGAAAAGGGCGTCAGTACGAAAAATGTACTGAGTATGTAAGACCGATAAGATACTAAATCTTGGACATAACATAAGAGGTGAAAATACATAAATTCAACCTGAATACCGAAGACAAGCCACCGGGGGCGTACACTGTGTTAACCATGAATCATGAATGCATGTAAGTTCTATAAATGTGAGGCTACTCATTTGGATTATGCATTAAATACATAATATAGTATTATTAAGCCGCTCTTTGGGGCACATCTTATCGTATTATATCATATCGTACCAAGCCTCGAAGAAGTCTCGGTCGTACCCGACCTTAGAAGATCTCAACTGTCCTCAGTCTCAATAAAACTCAGCGTAACCGGTCTCAAAAGGACTCGATCATACCTGACCATACAAGGGCTAGGTAATATCTCATATTTCATTCGTAGAGGACTCGTCGTACCCGACCTCAAGAGTTCTCGATTGTACTTGGCCTCAACAGAATGCGGCATAGTCGGTCTCGAGAAAACTCAATAGCCTCACATAATACATCATATTTCATCATTCTCAACTAATCAGTGGTTGCACAATAGGTGCCGCACTCGGCCGTCTATATAGAGGCTTAGTAGAGTATAATAGATACGTATATACAAGATCAACTTTTCAAGAGATATTAAGATTAAACCGGAACAAATCATATTTCCGACCTCAGGATACTACCTGAACATCTCGGACTTTGAAGGGTGTGCTACCAGTAAGGATGTACAAGGACAAGAACGGCGTTATTGAGAAGGCTTAGAACAAACCAATCTTATAACACATGCATAAATCCTTTAGAAAGAGAGAGAGAGACGCTTACACTAAATCAAGCAAAGAAAGAAGGTTGCCTTACATACCTTTTTGAGGAACTAGTTACCCTTTTTGAGTTTTTATGCTTCTATGACTAACTCCGCCTCCAATGAATCTTCAAAGATCAATATAATAAGATAAGTGATATTGCAGTGGTGATTTCAAGCTTCTTCATGCTAGATCCTATGAGGTTCGCCTTTGATTTAGCCTTAGACTGTTTGGGAATTCTAGAGAAGGTTTAAAGCATTTTGGCTGAACTAAAATTTGGCGATATATCTTAGAATGAAAGAGATGAGAGTTGCACTGCCTTTTTTATACCCAGCGACATGTCTAGGAAATTCCGCTGCCCCAGATGCTAAACGGGTTGCCCCGCACCGGCCATGCGCCCGGCGGGACAGCTGGCGCAATTTGGCCAAATGAAATTGCCTCTCTACCTGGTAACATGCCTCCAGGTGATTGGTGGTACCAAAACCTTGTTAATCCTTTACCTTCATATATGGGGAAATAGTGTGGGGTGTAACAACTATAATTACGCCATGAAAAAAGGTAAACTCACCGCAAGCTTTGGAGGTTAAAAATTAGTGGCATCAGGGGCAACTATCACATAAAAATATTTTTTTTAAAAGGGCCTAAACTATCCTTATTGTATCCTCATCGTTATTTCTATTGCAAAAATTACCCATCGATTTAACGGAAACATATGTGATTCCCACTTTTAATGAGTTGGTAACGTATTACTGGGCCACGTGGCTTATTGGGTCAGACAAAAGACATGGGTAAATATACCCGCTCCAATTATTTGAACCACTCTAATTATTTTTTAACTTATAAAACGAAAAGAAATAGATTTAACAGCTTTTTCCTTCACTATTTTCAACACCCTATTTTCCGCATAACCACCACAAATCTAGACCACTCCATATGTATTCATTTACAACAACAATTTGGGGAAAAAGTGTCTTCTCGTTGTAGTAGTCGGAGTACTATTTATTACTAGTAAAATTTTCTAACAACTAAATCCATCAGAATCACGGCACATGTTCTTTATTTAATTAAGATATATTGACACATTTAATTTTAAAAATTGAAGGAGTGAACACAGTTTATTAGAAAGGTGGAAAAGTTCTATATAAATTGTTAAAAATTTGAGAAAATATCGACCAGATCTTGCCGGTACAGTAAATATGACCTCCCTTTGCCTTTAATTTTTCGGCGACTTTCGATGCCTCGGCCGAATCCGTTGCTTTGTAAGTTTTGTTTTTCGTTTCTTTTTCTGCATTAAAAATACAAAACTGTTCTTCCCCTCGCTATTACTCTAGCATAACAGGTTGCGGTGAAAACGGATAAAATAGGCTGGATTTGATGGTCATAAAAGAATTTCCCAACCGAAGCTTCTCGATTTTTCGGGGTGGTTATGAGGTGGTCGTTTAATATGGGCAACATAGAGTACCTATTGCCTAAAAATTTTATTACATTGATGGACATAGACATTTCTGTAAAATCAAAAAAGAAAAAACTCTTACCAGTGGTCGCCAAAAATATTTTATGATTGGTTAAAAGATGGTAAGGGAAGAAAATACTAAGTATTTTTTAATAACTAGGGTCGGATCCGGTTAACGGGTCGAAATTAAATCGAAATTTGAATTTTTGGACAAAAGTGCCACGTGGCCCAGTAAAAAAAATGCCAACGCATTAATTGAAGGCCCAGCTGATCTGCCGTTAAACGTAAGGATATTTTTATAAATAAAAATAATGTAGCATGTATTCTTAGACTGATAGATGGATGTAATATGTATATTTGGACTGATAGATGGACGAAAACCATTTACCAAACAATAGGTATAGTTTTGATCCTTTTCTGAATTATTATTTTACCTCTGATGTGATCTAATGCTAGTGCAATGCTAACAGCATCGAGAATGAAAGTTGATTGTCAAAATGGAGCAATAACTGGCAAAACACTCAAAAATTAAGTTCAATATTATGGCTAAAAATTAATGAAGTATTGTTTCCGCCATATTAATTGTACTCCACCTCGTGGATTATGTAACTTCTCTGTTGTCTTTTGCTTTCTGCCTCAGCAGTCATGACTCATGGACTGATAGCAGATACTATTAGTTATATTAATTAAACAAGCTTAATTCTTCTTCTTTTTTCTTTTTCAATTTTTCCATCTCCAAAAGCTTAAACTTTGGGATAACAACACGTGCTCTCGTTGGGCGAACATATATATATATATATATGTTTTACAAAATCAGTTTGATCATGATCTATATATCGCGATAAGTATCTATAATGAAATTTAATTTCCGCTTGAGGAAGTGGTTAGGCCCTTGCAACAATCTTTTATAAAATTACTTACCTTTCGATTTTGTAAAGTTATCATACCTTATAATTTTGCCTAGAGCCGTCAATATGGGCTTTGTCCGTTGGGCCAGCCCAGCCCTGCCCGTGATTTAGCAGGGCTGGGCTAGAATTTTTTATGGCCATTTAAAAACGAGGCTTTTAAGCACGATCCGAGTAAGCCCGTGGCCCGTGAGACTTAACTGAGGCTGGGCTGGGCTGGGCCGGCCCAATGGGCCTAATAAAAATACGTATGTAAAATATATAAAATATAAAAAGTATATGACACAAAAAATAACAAGAAGAATATCCCAAGTTTAAAGTTTATTGAGCTCATCATATTAAAAGATTAAAGTTTTAAAACGTTAATTAGTTTTAAAATTCTAATTATTCTTAATATTTAACTAATTAATATTGCATACGAATTGTAGATGTAGAAGAAAGTCAAGATAGTAAGACAACCTTCTCACAAGCGGATTCAAATGTGTTTGATGAAGATGATGTGCTAGATATCTCATAAGCGTCATAGGCGTTCTCTTGAATAGTTTGTTTTGAGTTTTGACTTTTAGCGAATAAAATATAATCTTTTCTTTTACTTTTTTAGTGTTTATTGTGATATATTAGAACCGTATAAAAAGTTATTAAGCTTTGTGAAATTTTTCCAATAAGATTTTTTTAACTTTTAAATATTTATCTTTTTTTAGTTTAGAATTTAAAGAAAAAATATAAAATTATATTTTAAAAAATGATATCGACCCGTGGGGGTCCGTGGCCCACATAGGGCTAGGTTGAGTTGATCGTTATAAGGCCCATCAAAATGGTGAGCTAGCCCAGCCCAGCCCAGCCCAGCCCGTTAATTGCTAAAGCCCACGTGGGCTGGGCTGGGCTAGTCCGGCCCCGCCCATATTGACGGCTCTAATTTTGCCATTATACTTAAATTATCATACCTTTATTTTTCCGCTTGTGGTAGTGGTTTGACCCATGCATGTCGCATTTAGCGTTCAACCTAATAAACATTTGTCTTCACTTAATTTGACTAGCTCTAATCCGGTGGCTTTCTCAAGAGTTGTAATTGGGACTAATTGTTATAGCGCAGATAAAATTAACAAGTGCGAGATTAGCTTGAAAGAATCGTTAAGTGTAGGTATATCTCTTAATTTGTTTTAAATTTTCTTTCATTCTAATTTATGCAAAAGAAGGTAATTAAGACAAAACTGCATCTTAAATTGAAAATCGTGACAAGTTTTACAGCAACCTGCACCAGCACTCGGCATGCCAAAGAAGAGACGAGAGTGTAATACATAATTAAAATATAAAAGTGTCACTATTCTCATAATTTAATGATTCATTCGGTTCAATACACTTTAACTTCCTCATTATTAACTCAATCGGTCAATTTAATACTAACACCTGCTTTGTGATTTTTCCTTAATTTTTTTTTTTTTTTTTTTTGGTCTGGTCTACCTCATGTTGACCAAATATATAATAACAGAAGGACGACTTTAAGTTAATAATAAAGATTTTTGCTAATCCATCTTTTGGTACGTAGTTAGGGATGGTAGTTATAGGTCCAATATTGCAATAAATAAAAAGGTGAAATGAGGAGTACAAGTTTTGACGGAACTGGTACTTGATCCAACTGGGTAGTTGCTGACCCAGGGAAATACTATTGGAAAGTCCAGTCTGGAGTCTGGATTTTTTTCACTATAAATAGTGAATGAAGTTGAGGCAAAGAGTCTCATCATCACATTAATTAGTCCTTTCATCTTCTTAATTTCTTTCTCATTTCCTCATTAAAGTGTAAGACAGATTCTTAATTATATGGCCACCACTTTACAGTTGAGCTTGGGGAAGCGATTTCTGAACCAATTCAGCTACGCAACTGCTCGAAATTCACCTACCCTCTCTGGCAGGTCAGTTTTTTTTATGTCTATACTCTACAGACAGGTGTTATATGTATTCACAAATCTCGTGTTAATAATAAAGACTTTTGTAGCACACTATATCTCTTTTGTTATTTTTTGGTCTGCAGGGAATTTCCATTTCTCCTCCCTGTTGTTGGAATTTTGTTTTTCCGCCCCTTTTTTGGTTTATTTCAATAATATTAGTAGCAGCTAGCATCTTGAGACTATAATCGATCACTTGTAGGAATACGTGCGACCTTATTCGGATGAAGTGATCAACGACAAATACTGGGCTCCTCACCCTCAAACTGGTGTGTTTGGGCCAGCAACCGATCACAGTGGTTTCAAAACGACGCCTGCCAGCGCTACTGTAGATTCTGTATTGGAACACAAGGCTTTCTTCCGCCCTCTTGAGGATCTTGACAAGCCAGCCTACGTTTAACTTTCATAATAGTTACAACTCTGTTAATTTGAATGCTCTGAGGGTAGCAGCAAGATATATATTATTTGAATCTGTAACATATGAGTATTTGTACTACACCATTACTGCACTGCTTTCAAATGTTTATGAGCTATTGTTATATGAGTTTCTTTATTTACTTCTGTCAACTCCTGTCCCTTTGTGTACTTGCTATAACATCATCCTACATTAGGAATTTCTCTTTCAATGTTAGGGTGAAAATTTTCTCAACATTCACACTGAAAATCTATTGAATTGTGTAAAATATTTAACGGAAATTTTATCTAATCACAATAAAGACACAACTCCTTTCCAACACAGAGTCTATATTAGCAGGGCAGGCATGTTTGACTACCCTGTCTATCTTATGCAAAAACCAATTTACAATACAATTGTTTTATGTTAAAAATCTTACACGTGGTTTTTTTGTCACTATAGATGACCAAGAAAAATTCTTGCAGCAACTTGAGCAAACAACTATTTTATATACATTCAGTCGTTTGATCCAGCATTTGTGCATGATAGAATTCCGTCACTCCACACAATAAATTCATCGAATACGGTTCAAGTGAGCAAATGGCTCAGGGTTGGCTTTTGGTGCAGGCTTTGCAACTTCAGGAGTTCCAAATACATTCCAGAATCTAAGAGTTTCATCCCCAGCTGCAGATGCCACTGTGCAACCATCTGGACTTTGTGCCATGAAAAGTACTCTGGATGTGTGACCAGTAAGCTCAGCTACCCTAACCATGGAAGGATATTTCCAAAGAGTGAGCTGATTCTTAGTGAAACCATGAGAACTTAGGAGCTCGCGTTCATTCTTGTTCCATAGCAGGGCACAAACCTGAGATCCCGTATCAATAGAGTTCACACAAGCACCAGTATGAGTGTTCCAGAACTTAATGGACCGGTCACCTCCACCACCACCAGAGGCTAATAAATTACCCTGGAAAGGACACCAAGCAAGGGCCTTAACAGCAGCTGTATGATCTTCAAGTCTGTGAAGCCACTGTGTTGTAGAGTTGGAAGAAGCCATTGATCTGTCCCATATATGAAGAAGGTTATCATTTCCACCGCTTGCTAATTGTTGTCCAGAGGCTGACCATTTTAAACCACAAACTTCTTGATGATGTCCTTGGTAAGTGTCAACAATTGGGGATCTCACTCTCACATCGTTGTTTATGATCTGACCGTCCATTCCCCCTGTTGTCAAAATGTGATTGTTCCAATCTAGAGCGCCAACTCGGGATCGGTGACCACCTCTCAAAGTTCTCAGCTGCACCAATGTATAAAAACACATACTAATTAGCATGAGAATCACTTAAATTCAGCAATATAAGAAGAGAAAATGGTCAAGAAACAAACCAGTCGATTTGCTGTTGTATCCCAGAGCTGAACATCAGAATTGTTCAGACCAACAGCAATATGTCTACCATCAGGAGCCCATTTTACACTTGTAACAGGACCATTGTCTTCATCAGCAGTGAACAGCTCTGAAGTGGCACCATCAGATGCATCCCACAGATATACAGTGCTGCCTAGAGCAATAGAAAGAACATTACTGCTGCCCCAATCTAATAAATTCAAATAGTAGTCATCGACTAGATCCGGAGCATCTAGTGTCCTTTCAGAAGTCTGCAAAATAAACCAATGAAACCTCTATAAGGACCGTCACATATAATATACTATAATAAGTACCAACATTACTAGACCATGAACATACACCAACCTGAGGAATGTGTCGACGGGGTTTAGCAGGCTTGGCCTGTTGAACAGATGATGAGAATTCATTGGGAAAGGCCTCAACAGGAGTGGGTGGCTTGTTCTTGAATGCCAGTATACGAGATCTGTTCATGTTGAATGTTTCTGCAAGCTGCTTCCTATATGCCTCTCTGGAGGGAGAGTCAACAGCTGGATTTTCCTTACCTTTCTTTGCCTCTGTCAACATGTAATGTGCATAGTCCATATCCATCGCTGATCGATTCGGAATGAACCTATCCAACTGCAACAACCCAAATCAGCACTCAATTAGATGCCCATATGAAAAGGAGACAGATCCAAAATTTAGATTTTAACCTTTAAGTTCTTACTGTTCAATTAAATTGCACTGTTGAAATTATTATTTGTTGATATTTAATTTTAGTAATATTTCACATATATCTATGCTCTATGTCGAACTTGTTGAAAAAACAGGACTCAGCACACCTTAATTTTGCTATTAGAATTAAAACCAAACCAAGATGACTAATTAAATGGAAACCCAGTCTTCCTCTTGGCTAAATTTCTTGAAGTTGAAGTCCAGATTACAATCTAATTGTGCAAATAAATGGAAACAATTAGTAATTTTTTAGAGACAATAAGTATACATACATTTTGAGAAGAATTTCTCCTGTGAAGAAGTTGTTCCTGAAGAGGGCAACGAGATCTGGTCTTACTTGCTGATGCAGAACTCAAATATCCTGTATCCATTGTGTTAGCACAAAACAAAAACAAAACAAAAAAAAAAAAAACAAAGTAATATGTGTGAAATAAAACAAGATTATCAAAGCCTGCAAAAACTAAGATCAGGGTTATAGACAGATTAATTAAAGAACAAGAAAGTAATAAAAAGAGACGAATAGAATAGCGCTTGTTGAGTGGTTGGTTGAGAATTGAGAAGAGAGAAGATGGAGGACCCAATGAAGAATTGATGAGACGCTCCCCTCTCTTTTCAATTTATGGGTTTATGGCTTTGAGTCTCAGTTGTAATATTTCTTTTCAAACGGCTAGTCGAGGATTCTAGGGTTTTTGCATTTTGTATGATACAACGGCTATATTCCTACACATGCCAGTTGGTCTAATGCTAAATATTTATATTAATTGATTATTTTAAGTGATAATAATAAGGTGAGAATATTCATTAATTAGATATGATTTAGTGATAAGAACGTACGTAAATACTCATTGGATTGACGCAAACATGACTCTGAATTTAATATTCATCTTATTCTAGCTAACTCGGAATACTTGATTAATGATTGGTCATCGACTCAAAAGTTCCAAACTAAAAAAAAAAAAAAAAAGTAAATTGAACTTTAAATTCATGAGAGGAAGAAAAAAAATGGAAACATTGTTAACACTTCATAGTACCATTCATTATGATATATTAATGAAAAATGAAAAACAAAGAAATCATTACTCCCTACGTCTTAAATTATTTGTCGTATTTCTCTTTTACACGCATTTTAATAAAATATTAGTTAGGATGATTTTTTGACTATTTATTTGTGTCTTAAAATATAATCTCTCTTCATTAAATATTTACTCTATTTATGTGTCATTTCCATCTTCAAGAACAATTATTACTAAGGGTAAAATAGAAAAGAGTCATTAATTTTATGAGAGCTGCTATTCGGCCAAACTCAGCATGGCCCAACAATGACCACACTGGTGAAATACCAGTAAAGCCCTTTATTTCATATTTGGCTTAATGGGCATTTTTCCCTCCAAAATATTTTCCTCCAAAATTAGTTAATAAATATTAATTATCCCAAAACATTAATCTCATAAATCATCATTCTCTCATGGGAAGATCAACCAACTTCGTATGTATACCTATACTATTACGTATTTATTTTATTTTTTAAATAAAATTCATACGGATGGGAATATCAAAAGCCTTCGTATATGTATACCTACACTATTACGTATTTCAAAAAAAAAAATATAATTTATACGATGGGAAGATCAAAAGTCTAGTATCTATACATAATATTATTTTTTATACGGTATACAAACTTATAATAGCCTGTTGATGAGGTGGTTGTCAAATAGCCCGTTGATGAGGTAGATGTCAAATAGCCATTTATATAATAGCCATTTATATTAAAGTCATTCGTATCGGCCTATGGCTACCATATAAGTCCATTGACTAATATGGTTGTAGTCATATAACCTATGCTAATTATGTCGTTGTGATTCATAGTAATATCGACCGCTTGTATAATAGCCGGTTATATTAATTTCATTCATTAAGGTCATTCGTATCCGCCTATAGCAACCATATAAGTCCATTGACTAATATGGTTGTAGTCATTTAACCTATGCTAATTATATCGTTGTGATTCTTAGTAATATCGACCGTTTATATAATTTAATTTATTATGGTCATACGTATCGGCCTATAGCAACCATATAAGTCCACTGACTAATATGGTTGAAGTCATATAACCTATGGTAATTATATCGTTGTGATTCTTAGCAATATCGAGTGTTTATATAATAGTCGTTTATATTAATTTCATACATATCGGCCTATATTAACCATATAAGTCAATTCACTAATATGGTTGTAGTCATATAACCTATGATAATTATATCGTCGTGATTCTTAGTAATATCGACCGTTTATATAGTAGCCGTTTATATTAATTTCATATATATTGGCCTATAGCAACCATACAAGTCCATTCACTAATATAGTTGTAGTCATATAACCTATGCTAATTATATCGTTATGATTCTTAGTAATATCGACCATTTATATAATAGCCGTTTATATAAATTTTATACATATCGGCCTATAGCAATCATATAAGTCCATTCACTAATATGGTTGTAGTCATATAACCTATGATAATTATATCGTTGTTTAGTAATATCGACCGTTTATATAATAGCCGTTTATATTAATTTCATACATATCGGCCTATAGCAACCATATAAGTCCATTCACCAATATGGTTGTAGTCATATAACCTATGCTAATTATATCGTTGTGATTCTTAGTAATATCGACCGTTTATATAATAGCCGTTTATATTAATTTCATACATATCGGCCTATAGCAACCATATAAGTCCATTCACTAATATGGTTGTAGTCATATAACCTATGCTAATTATATCGTTGTGATTCTTAGTAATATCGACCGTTTATATAATAGCCGTTTATATTAATTTCATACATATCGGCCTATAGCAACCATATAAGTCCATTCACTAATATGGTTGTAGTCATATAACTTATGCTAATTATATCGTTGTGATTCTTAGTAATATCGACCGTTTATATAATAGCCGTTTATATTAATTTCATACATATCGGCCTATAGCAACCATATAAGTCCATTCACTAATATGGTTGTAGTCATATAACCTATGCTAATTATATCGTTGTGATTCTTAGTAATATCCACCGTTTATATAATAGCCGTTTATATTAATTTCATACATATCGGCCTATAGCAACCATATAAGTCCATTCACTAATATGGTTGTAGTCATATAACCTATGCTAATTATATCGTTGTGATTCTTAGTAATATCGACCGTTTATATAATAGCCGTTTATATTAATTTCATACATATCGGCCTATAGCAACCATATAAGTCCATTCACTAATATGGTTGTAGTCATATAACCTATGCTAATTATATCGTTGTGATTCTTAGTAATATCGACCGTTTATATAATAGCCGTTTATATTAATTTCATACGTATCGGCCTATAGCAACCATATAAGTCCATTCACTAATATGGTTGTAGTCATATAACCTATGCTAATTATATCGTTGTGATTCTTAGTAATATCGACCGTTTATATAATAGCCGTTTATATTAATTTCATACATATCGGCCTATAGCAACCATATAAGTCCATTCACTAATATGGTTGTAGTCATATAACCTATGCTAATTATATCGTTGTGATTCTTAGTAATATCGACCGTTTATATAATAGCCGTTTATATTAATTTCATACATATCGGCCTATAGCAACCATATAAGTCCATTCACTAATATGGTTGTAGTCATATAACCTATGATAATTATATCGTTGTTTAATAATATCGACCGTTTATATAATAGCCGTTTATATTAATTTCATACATATCGGCCTATAGCAACAATATAAGTCCATCCACCAATATGGTTGTAGTCATATAACCTATGCTAATTATATCGTTGTGATTCTTAGTAATATCGACCGTTTATATAATAGCCGTTTATATTGATTTCATACATATCGGCCTATATTAACCATATAAGTCTATTCACTAATATGTTGTAGTCATATAACCTATGCTAATTATATCGTTGTGATTCTTAGTAATATAGATCGTTTATATAATAGCCGTTTATATAATTTAATTCATTATGGTCATACGTATCGCCCTATAGCAACCATATAAGTCCATTGACTAATATGGTTGAAGTCATATAACCTATGATAATTATTTCGTTGTGATTCTTAGTAATATCGACCGTTTATATAATAGCTGTTTATATTAATTTCATACATATCGACATATATCAACCATATAAGTCCATTCACTAATATGGTTGTAGTCATATAACCTATGCTAATTATATCATTGTGATTCTTAGTAATATCGACAGTTTATATAATTGTTGTTTATATTAATTTCATACATATCGCCCTATAGCAACCAAATAAGTTCATTCACTAATATGGTTGTAGTCATATAACCTATGTTAATTATATCGTTGTGATTCTTAGTAATATCGACCGTTTATATTAATTTCATACATATCGGCCTATAGCAACCATATAAGTCGTCCATTCACTAATATGGTTGTAGTCATATAACCTATGCTAATTATATCGTTGTGATTCTTAGTAATATCGACCATTTATATAATAGCCGTTTATATTAATTTCATACATATCGGCCTATAGCAACCATATAAGTCCATTCACTAATATGGTTGTAGTCATATAACTTATGCTAATTATATCGTTGTGATTCTTAGTAATATCGACCGTTTATATAATAGTCGTTTATATAATTAAATTATGGTCATACGTATCGGCCTATTGAAACCATATAAGTCCATTGACTAATATGGTTGAAGTCATATAACCTACAATAATTATATCGTTGTGATTCTTAGTAATATCAACCGTTTATATAATAGCCGTTTATATTAATTTCATACATATCCGCCTATAGCAACCATATAAGTCCATTCACTAATATGGTTGTAGTTATATAACCTATGCTAATTATATCGTTGTGATTCTTAGTAATATCGACCGTTTATATAATAGCCGTTTATATTAATTTCATACATATCGGCCTATAGCAACCATATAAGTCCATTCACTAGTATGACCTAAGGGTGTTAAACGGGTCGGGTCAGCCCGGTTCCGGACCGGCCCGGACCGGTTAGAGGGGGCTGGGTTGGGTAGGGGGGTAGAGGAGGTTGGTCCATTTAGGTTAGTGAAAACGGGTAACCGGTCCGGTTGAACCCGGTCCAGTGAACAGTAACCCTTACCGGGTTAACCGGCCCGGACCGGCCCGGTTCAACGGCCAAAAATTTTTTTTTTTGTTTTTTTTTAATTTTCGAAATATGTGGGCCCCACTGACCGTTGGTAACGGTCAGACCTTGAATTGGTCCGTTGGCCAACGGAAATATTGCATAAATAGCCTTTTTTTTTTAATTTTTAACCCCTTTTCAATTTACAAAACTAACCATCTCTAAAACTATAAATACCCCCCCCCCCCTCTTCTTCATTTCTTCACTCAATACTCATTTCTCAATCTCAATTTCTCTCATTCTCTCATTCTCCAATTTGCAAGACTTCAAGTCTCAATCTCAAATTCTCAATTCTCAAATCTCAAGTTAAATCATGCGTGGTACTTCTAGAGTGCGTTCATATGTTTGGCAACACTTTGAGGTGGTAGAAGAAAATGAAGAAGGTCAGAAATTAAAGTGCAAGAACTGTGGTCAAGTCTTAAAATTTCGTTCAGAGTGTGGCACAGGCAGTTTAAGGAGGCATATAAAGTATTGTCTTGAGCGTCCTCCG